TATACCAAAATACTTCTACGGAAACAAACCAGTTTAAAAAAGTACGAGATTGGGTATCTGATGAAAATGGCCAGTTTACAGATAGATGGGGACACGGTACAGAAAAATCACCTTTTGACCCATGTCCTGAAGGATGGAGAATACCTGATGCTTTCTATGCAAACATGCACTCTACACTGCCTAAGTTAAGCAATTTCTATTCTTACTGGCCATTATCTCACGGAAACAATCCTTGGTATTATAATGGTTATCAGACTTCAGGTACAGGACAATACGGATTAGCACCTTCAAGTGTATACCACGCTAAAAGAGATGCTTATTCACCTGCAAACAAATTCTATCCGGGAAGCCGATCTTCAATTTCTAACTATCCTGCCACCAGATTTGGGTTTGTTTTCAACAATAGCAGATATAAAATCGGCAGTTATCCAAATAATGGGATTCGAGGCTTTGAAGGAGGGAAAGATCTAACCATGATTACAGCTGACGGGCCTCTTAGATTAAGATTTACTCTCTCAGGAGTTTGGACAGCTTCACCTACTGACGTTTATTCAGGGACAGCTATTGGACTGCATTTCAATATAGAATCCTCAGCCGAGTTCAATATGCAGACAGGATATCCTTATTATCCACAAGCAGCAATGTCTTGCCGTTGTGCAAAAATCAAGTACGATGGCAACGGAAATGAAATTGGAAGATATGAAACTGCCGCTATCGAAGTTCCGAAAAATGCTACGACAACAGCCGTAAATATTTTGGCTAAAAAGGAAATTGGGGAAGTCCAGAATGACAGGGCGAGGGTGATTCAATCGATATAACAGATCAATTTGTATTCCAAATAAATACAAAATCAATCTGCTGATCCTAACTCTTGCTTTTCAGCAATCGATAAAGCCGAAATATAAATAAAAAATTAATTTAAAATTTAAAAACAAATGCGCCAATATATTTGAAAGATGTTTGCAATATAAACATTGATCAGTGTAAGTGATATTTTAGCTTTCAGCGATCTACTGTGATCGAGAGAATCACAGGAGTCTTGGAAGAGTTATAGTTGAATGAGTTATGCAAAACTTTTTGTGTAATTATGTTCATAGTTTGGTGTGTCCAATATTAATATCTAAAGTGTCGTTTGTTGTATAGTTTTATAATTGTCTGGTTGTGATGTAGCTAGCAATTATGTTTTTTGGAAATGGATGTATGTATTGGTAAGCGGTAAGCTTTATCATGTTGTTATAGAAAGGGTTATGTACTTTGATAATTATCATTTTTATTAAAAGCTTTAGGTATGGGTTCAATTCAGAATCCTTTAATGTTTAGGTGTTTTCAAGTCAATGATTTTGATACCATTTTAATATGAGAATTGTAACAGTATGTGTTGATATAGAGTTGCTGTTCATTTGGCAAAGTATGTGTAGATATAATGAAAGCTTAGTGATGTATTCGTATCTGAATGTTAGATAGATTTTATGATAATAGAGAAGTATACATTAAACTGATAATTTAATTTTGATCAATTAGTTATAATACATATGATGATAGTTGTAAGTAGTAGAACTTTTTCGTATCAATATGAGCTGCTTACACATGTTGGGGTGTGGGTGTGGGTGTGGGTGTGGGTGTAGGTGTGTGCGGGTGCGGGTGCGGGTGCGGGTACGGGTGTGTGTGGGTGTGGGTGTAGGTGTGTGTGGGTGCGGGTGCGGATGCGAGTGTAAGTGTGTGTGGGTGTGGGTGTAGGTGTGTGCGGGTGGGGGTGTGGGTGTAGGTGTGTGCGGGTGGGGGTGTGGGTGTAGGTGTGTGCGGGTGGGGGTGTGGGTGTAGGTGTGTGCGGGTGGGGGTGTGGGTGTAGGTGTGTGCGGGTGGGGGTGTGGGTGTAGGTGTGTGCGGGTGGGGGTGTGGGTGTAGGTGTGTGCGGGTGG